GCTAGGTAGTCAATGTCCAATAGTACTACTGAAACTACTTTTAAAATTTTGGCTCAGAAGATTATTTGTTTTATGTAAAATTATCTCTTTTCTGTTCTCAGGTTGCTTATGATGAAGCTACAGATGAATTTGCTTCTTACTTCAACAGGCAGACTTCTCCCAAGATTCTCATCACAACATCAGATAGGCCTCATGGGGTAAACACATCAATTAGTATAGTTCTTGAATTCTTAATTTTCTTATATTACTTCTGTTTACTGTGTTCAGAAGAGTTAGTTAATTGCCCTAGATAATGCCTGTGAGTAAGCTAAATAAAATGTAGTACTGGTGATGATATGTAGATTCACTAATCACAGTTCTTTAGAATAGGGTTTTTCAACCTCAGCACTATTAACATTTTGGGCTGGATAATTCTTGGATATGATAAGCTATCCTGTTCATTATCAGATGTTTAGCAGCATCCCTGGCCTCTGTCCATTAGTTGCCAGTAGCAACTATATACCACCACCACCACCACCAATTACCCATCAAAAATATCTCCAGACATTTCCAAATGTCCCCTGGTGGAGCAAAATCATCTCTTATTGAGAACTTCTGCTCTAGGATGATCAGCCTTTGAGAAAAAATGAAACACTGTTCAGATTTCATTCTTTCCCAGTGTTGGTTTTATTAATAATACTATCTTATAATAATCATTATTTGTTTCCTTATGATCATATACCACGTAAAATTTTTATTCTTTGTTACTTTTGAGAATTTTTGTTATTTTGTTTTACAGAGAACAGTAAGACTCTGTGAACAGCTCTCCACAGTTATACCAAACTCACATGTTTATTACAGAAGAGGACTGGCTCTGAAAAAAATTATTCCACAGTGCATCTCAAGAGATTTCACAGACCTGATTGTTATTAATGAAGATCGTAAAACTCCCAGTATCCTTTGGTTTTTTTAAGGCAATTTTCCTGTCCCCTTCGTCATCCCCTTTTAAAATATATTTTAAAAAAACAAGGAAATATTTCCTATAACTTCAGAAAATAATTTTTTTTTTGGCCAAAAAATTACACATCTCTATCCAAAATTCTGTAAACTGATTTTTCCTTTATATTCAGCAAACATTGATCAGGCACATGTTAAGACACTGTTTTAATCCTTACTAAAAGATTCAGAGGCCGGGCACTGTGGCTCACGCCTGTAATCCTAGCTCTTGGGAGGCCCAGGCGGGCGGATTGCTCAAGGTCAGGAGTTCAAAACCAGCCTGAGCAAGAGCGAGACCCCGTCTCTACTATAAATAGAAAGAAATTAATTGGCCAACTGATATATATATAAAAAAATTAGCCGGGCATGGTGGCTCATGCCTGTAGTCCCAGCTACTCGGGAGGCTG